GCAGCAATGTCACGACCTTCACGACAAGGGTCGAGTCAAAGGTCGACAGCAGCAGCAAGGTCGCGACCTTCTCGACGAAGGTTGATTCAAAGGTCAATAGCAGCTGCGAGAAGACAAGCGAGGTCAAAGGTCAACAGCAGCTGCGAGAAGACAAGCGAGGTCGACATTTCGTGAGTGAAATGAAAGTTAAAAAGTTTCACAACTACAGTAGAAATCCGGACCGCCCGAGGACCGGACTTTTTGAAAACTCTCAAATTTAACTTGCTGCTCATTTTTAAACATGATTTCATTTTTGGTAGTGAAAAATTTACAAGTTTACAGTTTTGTCGTGTTGACTTTATTTTAATTTAAAACTGCTCGTTTTGATGAGCTGTATTTGCTCATGAATAAACTATCAAAATTTACCTGTTCACCTCTTCTATATTCCTCCTTAAATTTGAATTTTAAAAGTACTGCCCGAGAAAATCCGAAAATCCGGACCGACCCAATCCCTGAGCAGTCCGGATTTTTTGACATCTACTGTATTTACGTGAGACCAGTGAATGTGATGTGAAGCTTCACTATTGGAGAAAGCACCACGAACAGCAAACTTACGTGCAAGCTCTCCTGCAGCTATAATCGTATACAAGAACCATGTACTCACCTGTACAATGTGAGGCAAGCAGAGAGGCTCAGACAGCAATCGCTTGGCTCTAGGCAGAGGCCGAACAATGGCACCATCCGAATCCCTGCAAACCGAAAAAAGACGTGCCTCAGCTAACTAACTACCTTTAAAGTAATAAACTCCATATTAAGTAATTAACTACCCATTTAATAAATTTTTATCAAGATTTGTAGCATTTAACTTTCTAACATTACCGTCCCCAGTCAGTTCCACATAATGTACTAGGTTGTCAAAATAGTGCAACAGTGATCAACAATGTTTGTAATACATGATGGAGGTCATGGTTGTTGATGGAAATCAGTTAGCAAAAGTGGATTCTGGCACATAGTAATAATTTTCAAAAAATGTCTGAAATGGCATAACTATACAAACACAACTAATCCATGACAGTCACAGTATAAAGTATTAGCTAATATTATGATACATGTACGTACCAGGGCATTGAAATTCATATGTTTTGCACCGGCCCAGAGGGCTGGTAGAAGCAGTTTTTTGCGCCCTCACCATAATTTACCAGCCCTCTAAATTAATTTACCTCAAAAATAAAGATATAACGGTTTCCATCGACTCTGCTGTGCCTGCAAAAATGTAATTGATAGTGTCAGCCTCGCATAGTAGCTGATTGAACACACTATAATGCGGGATCGTGTGAATGATGTCCGAAGGTTTTCTGTCATTGTCATGTTTCACGCTTGCACATCGATTTCATTATTGTAAAATGTTGATAAGTAACTATAGAGTGATGTCCTTCAAGGTTAAACGTAAGTAGACATTTGCTCATTAATACTGTATAATAACAAGATGCCGCGAGCGACAGCGCTCATCTAACGTCTACTGCGGGTGACTCTGTGGTGAGTGGTGTGATCTATAAACGCTTTGTCCAAATGTTTCACATACACGCACGAAACAGTGGAATGCAACAGGATGGTATCAGGAACCTTCTGCAAAAGGTTCGTGGGATCGTTATGACAGTGCCACGAGATGGCGCGGCTACTTAAGTGTCGTTCAGATTTCAGATGAAGCTCAGTCATAACGTATAGCAACAACTTTCAAGACAGAAAGGTAAGCACTCATCATTTCCTACGCAAGCCTACAGGCTGCAAATTGCAAATAGAGAGCTGCACTGTAAGCCAATTACGCAGGCAAAACCTGCCACTCAACACATGCACTGGCAAGCAGGCCACTCGCAGTGGCATACGTTACATGTGAACATTACTGACAGTACAGACATGACATAGAAATTATACGATAGTTAAGGAACATACACCTTCTTTAACCAAATGTTAGCTTTTGAAATTCCACTGTGACATTGGTAGCCTCATACAATTCCAGCGCATGTATAGGCTTCTATCAGCAACCCGCAGTCAAATTCTTCTAATAACAGGACAGTCAACAAATCAAGTTTAACCCTTCCTCTTGAGGGTCAAAGGTTATACCGACACTTATCTTGCATGTCAGCGAAGAAGACATTTCCATGTCCTTGTCAATTTAAAGCCATAAAAAATGCTAGGTCACGCTAGAAACAACAAAAAGTTTTTCAACTCGCTCGTCAGACCATGCCTAAAAATAGTCTAAAAACTGCCTGCCATTGACCTCTTTATACCGTTGACTCCAAGATTTCGGCACAGGATGGCTTTTTGTCACCATAGATGCTATATCAACCGACTATCACGAGGTCCTAGGTCGAGCCGTTAGATTTGTCCGCATTCTGCATTTCCTCCGTATACCTTAAGGTTAAGGAGTGGCATGTTCCCCTTACTTTTACCTACTCTTGACCTTGTGACCTTTGCCCAGCTTCGACATCCAACTCGTTCGGATTACCCCCCCACGTCCCGAATACGTGACCGTACGTCGAGCGTTAAGATTTGTGCCAACTGTGACGCACGGACGGACGCACGACGCACGGACGATCATCGCATTCTACCCTGCATCTGACTATGTCAGATGAGCTAAAAATGTAGGTACTTGCTGGACACGCTGAAACACCTGCTCAGAGGGCCGGTGTTTTGACAAGTTACTGGCCGCGCCAATTAATTGCCGGCATTGCGTGCGCCGTTAATAATTTTCGCGCCCCTGAGTACATGCGTGGCTATAGCTCCATGCGACCCACTTTCACTATGCGGACCAACTAGGAAAGCGCAAGAACAAGACACTCATCTGCTGGGATAAGTACTCGCAGATGCGGATCATGCTGTCCGAATGA